TTACGGCGTTGTAAAACGCGTAAAGTCGGCTGATCGTTCAAGGTCGCTACCACCGCGTGATATCGTTCGACCGGTGTGTCTACCGATTTCCTTATCTCGGTCGAAACGCTTGCGATTCCCCAGATGAGACAATTATCTTGAAAACTAGTCGATTGGGATGTTAATTACCGCCAGATTAGATGTATAGAACTTGCGTGCTCCGTAATAGATATGAAGGCTCGTTAATGCAACGCATCGCGGACGTGTTACGGGACAATGCTATGAGGAAGACGAGATCGTTTCGCGGTGATAAAAGGGGCCGCCGGCTACGTCGAGAAGATCGACTGCGGCCAACTTTATACATACATACGTAGACCGAGAAGCTGCACGAAGCCCCCAGCCTCTGTTCTGGGCCAGGCGAACCACCATCGGACCCCTAACTCGGAGGATGGGGGGACGATTTCGACGTTATCGATTTCGAATGATTTACACTGCCCCGTTGGTTTCGACCTGGCTCGAGATACTGTTCAGCGCACGCGATCATACTTGCAGACAGATCGCTGGGCTAGATCGTTGGCTGGAATTAATGGATTACTCGCGTACTACGACTGGTCACGGTTTTCCTCGACCTTTTCTGTCTTTTGTTCCGTATACCGTAGACTTATAATAGGGGATTTGCGTATTTTGGACCAATTTTTATTTTTCTCTCTTACAGAAGCATAGAACATCGTAGGATGCAAAGAGAAACGGAAAAACGACAAGGATTATACGTAGATTGTATGGTGTATTGGTCGTATTGAAAAACACGTCGTTACGGAAGTGCCTTGCGTGGAAATATATTCAGTGGCAATATAGTTAGAGTCCACTGTAGTTCTCTATCTCGGCCGATCTTCTAGCAATGAACGATCTTAGATCCAGTCCCATGCGCGAAACGAGGTTATTTTTACGTGGAACAGAGTTTAGGTTCGGAATTACACGCCACTGAAAAATATTTCGATTCCGATTACAGCGTTCGATCGGCGAATTGTCGTCCAAGGACGGAAAGCACGACACGCGACTCCGTCGAAGGACCAACAGCCGTTCAAGGAAGAAACGCTACGACGTCCTCGTGTGTGCACCGAGCTTGTTAGATAACCGATCGCAGGAGCACCGGTATAATTTGTCAACCGCTCCAGAGACGCGACCGGCTGGAATTCATAAGAACCTCGAGCGGTATACACCTAGGTTTTCTTCGTACCTAGCAAGCACACCTTGCATATATGCGTCGTCCAGAGAATTGCATGCATCTGAATGCGCCGTGAACGTAATAATCCCAGGTCTGCACTCGTCGTTAATTAAATCGGCCACGTAGTCGACACTTCCGTGCGGAATATTCGCTGTTGAATTCCCGATCGTATCCCGTTTTTCAGCTGGATTCCCGTCTACCCTTTAATTGGCATCAACCACGAAAGGTCCCGCGATGGTCCATCCCTTGCCGCGTACAAATCCCCTCGGAGTTCATTTTAATCATCCGTTCACCACGAATCGAACGGGGTCTGTCGCACAGTTGAGGTGCGTCGCGAAACCGCAACACATCGATCCAGTGCATCTTGGAACGGTCCCCGTGTCCCCGGGAAGAAAACCAGAACGAAAGACCGTGTGGCCCCGGCCACACATTGTTCATTTTATTTATGAGCCACGGTTTGTTCGTATCAAATCGTTCCGGTTCGTTAAACAGATCCCTATTTCGCTGTTATCGATCTCCAGTGATGCGAGTGCCGCCGCTCCGTGTCCCTCTATCCGCGTCGGGGCTCTCGTTTCGTGGAGAAAAATCCAAGAAGCAGCAGCATCCACCCGGTCGCCGGCGTGCATCCTTGCCGTGGTTCACCGACCCGCATATTTCTCTCCCCCTTTCTCTCTCTCTCTCTCTCTCCCTGTCACACACTAACCCTCTCCACTCTCTGCCATGCTCTGTTCTCCCTTTCTCCGTCTCCTGTCCTCTATCCGTTCCGTCCAAGTGGCGTGCATCCATTGTGCATCGCGCTCGCGCAAGTATGGATGCTTGCACGCGCTCGTTTGGTCGCGCGACCCCGCGCGCAACCATTTCTACGGGGACATATAATTCGATCTGCATTGTTCGCCAATCGGCCCCCGGCCAGACGTCGTCCCTTATTGGCATAATTGATTCACTTAATCGCGCCCGTGGGAGTGACGGACACCTCCTTCCGCGGCCCATCAACGCGTTAATCACGTGTCCGTTTGGCGAACTGACGTCCGCCCCTGGTCGAGACGAACCACGATCTCTCTTTATCCCATTCGATATTCCACCACGTTCATTCTCTCTTTTGCTTCTACAGGGAGAATTATGAGCTTCGTCTGTCAGTTTGAACTCGTTGTATACGAGGGCTGAAAGCCGTAATCGTTCCACCTCTCGTGATCTCTAGGTTTTCTTTCGCTTCTTTTGTACCTCCTTTCCGACCGGACGATTAAAACTCGATTTGTTCGTCAACGACGACGATTCTGCGCGGAATGATTCGTGGTTTGTAATGTCCACGATGGTCGTCGACGACACTATTCCATTCGTAGATTCTTGACGCGATAGAAGATCTCTCTCTCTCTCTTTCGTCTGCTGATTTCTCGGCGGAAATTCAATTTAGATATCGTCTGGCACACGCAACGGTTATAACGCGACCCGAGGCGTGCCGGCCGATCGCGACCGATCGATGTAATCGTAATCGGTGTAATTACAGACGCCCAGCGAACTCTTGGAACGCTTATCTCTGCCCGTATTCGATTATTGGCTGTCTGGGCACCCCGCGAAGAAGCAGGAAGGCGAGACCGACCGAGACTCTCCGATTATTACACGGAAAAACACTGGGTAATAGCAACGATGTTCGCGGCGTTCTTTGATAGGTGCGTGCCCCAGCTAGGAACAACGAGTCGCGTCTCTCCCCCCGCCCCTATATTATACAATGCGTATCGTTCTATCTCCGTTCACATTGTAAATTCGTAGCGCAGGGATTCACGGATTCGAGCAAGCCTACGAATTATCGACCACGGGGCACGGCCGATTTCGATCGTAACCGAGATTCCCAGGAAATTGTATCCCCGAGGACTCTATGTACCCCCATCGTTACTCGAGAAGACCGCGAAGAGTAGATCGAAAGAGGGGGAGGAGCATTTCTGTATGGAGGGGGGAAGAAAAGAAATCCGTTTACGAGCTGAACGATCACCGGTTCTTTTCCGTTGCACGCCTGATGCGTGACTCCGATCGTAGATAGATCATCGAGTGTTTCGAGAAGAGGGAGAAGAGCTAAAAGCTAAATCGTCCATTTAAATCGTGTATTGTTCCCCACGACGCTCCGGACGGGGCGAGTTTATTCCGGATAGCATCTTCCGCGTGCCCCGTCCACGGATCGTGTTATCATGAGACGGCGATGGTGGTTCACGGGACGAAGCGAACCACGGTTAAATTGTATACAGGGTGTAGGAAAAATGTTGGAGGACCCGCAAATGCAAGACTCGTTGGGTGATTTGAAACAAGTTTTTCCTTAGCGAAAATGTTGTCCGAGGCTTTCTTAACGAGATATTAATGAAAAATCCCGACCAAGTTCCTGCGGTAACGTTGGCTATACATTTAATAACATATTTATACAGTACATTTTTATATAAAATTATTAACAGCTTAGTAGATTGTCCTGTCCTCCTAAACCAAATAAATTTTCACGTACCCCCTCGTGCAGCTAGGCATTCCAATCTATTCTACCCTACTTCAGGTACAACCACAGAGATACAATAGCCAGAATATGCAATATAGCCAACAAATTTAATAACCAAATTGAATTTTTCTCAGAATCAATACATAAAGTCAAAACTTCCATCTACCAGATACTGCGAGAGTAACGTGTATGCAAACATAACTTTAAGCCGTCTTCAAGGTGTCATTAAACGTCGTGTATTATCTGCGTTATGTTGCGCGTGCAATAACTGTTGCTGTGTCCTCCACCAATCAGAAAGAATCACGAAAAATCACCGTGATTGGAAACGAACATGATCGAATCGCGTGAGGATGTTCCGTGCATCTCGCGATTAGTCGCGTGATCACAGGTAGGCCTTAGATTCGAGTTATTTTCTCGGTGTGACGCCGCAGCTCGTGCGCGCGCGCGCGCGCCGTATCGCGACCGCGCCTCGTGCCTCGTTCGGTTATCTTTAACTGTACCCCTCGATTTTATAATTTGTTACATATTATGCGCGCTAGTGCCGGCGTAGCAAACGACCGCAGTAAATCCTGGTGTGCTGTTGACCCTAGGATCGCTGGACCGAGACCAGGCTGGCGGACCCGCGGCCGTAGATATCCGCGCGAGGAGGGTCAACAGGAAGCAATTAAAGTTTCGACAGAATCTCCTTGGCTTAACGTTACACACAACATACATACACACCGTTCCTTGGCGAAAAGATCGCACGGTAACGATTTCAAAGGAACGGAATTTCGTGCCTTTATCCCCTTACCCCTCTTCGTTTCATTATTCTTTTACACGAACTCTCGAGATATCGAAAGAAGTTATCCCGTGTACGTGTAACATCGCCGAGGTCTCTCGAACGTATCCCTTTTTACATCTTCTGGTGTCGGTTATGTTCGCACGTGGATTCACCCTATCATTAAAAGTATACGATTACGCTCAACTCGAGGGGTACACTTTTAATACGGAAGACTACGCGTGTCTTGATGGCCCGCAATAAACTAAAGTAACAGTAAACGGTTATTCCGTTTTACGGTTTACAGTGTTCTCCTTCTCTCGTTGCCAGGCAGAAGGCTCTATCGGCAGTTTCGTTCCGCGAGATTGAACCATGAAGCGTTATTATGTCAATCATTAATGTATCGTTCCGATCACGATGGAATGCACTACTTGACCGTTTGGTCGTTGTTGATCAATTGGGATCCATAAACCTTCTCCTCTATCATTTCTCCGTTAGCATTTTTTCTTTTTTCACGTGTTTCAATCGACGTCCTAAATTGCACATACATACATTTTATTTCGCAGATTTCGTAACCGGCGCCTGTCCCCGAATATGTCCGCCGGGCGGCGAGCCAGCGTGCGGTAGCGACGGTGTGATCTATGCGTCGCAGTGCGAAATGCGGAAGAAGATGTGTGGAAAAGGTGAGCTGCTTTTAACCATACCTAATAGTTATGATTAGAGTGTATAAGCTCTGTTCCCGGCGATTATACAGCTGCTTTACAACGTCCGTGGAACCAGCGGCGTATCGAGATTCATTTCGTTCCCCAGTGTTTCGTGCGGTTGAACGATCTCGAAACCCCTGCGTTCCCTACCGTTGACCATTAATGATAATTTATTAACACCGAGCGGGGCCGGTTTCGGTATCGAAACCCACATCGAACGGACGGGTAATTATCGATACTTTACAAATTGCATAGGCGTGACCGTGGCAACGGAGAAGACCGCTTGCCTGAGGTCATCCGGTAGCAAGTGTGAGCATCGTTGCCCGGGCGATCAGGATGCAGTGTGCGGCACGGACGGTCGTACGTATCTGAACAAGTGCATGCTCAGGGTCGAGATCTGCCGAGTAGGAATCGAGCTGTCGCATCTTGGCCCTTGCAACAATATCTCCGCGCATCGAGAGAACTGTCCTGTGTCCTGTGAATTCGCACCACTCGACGGGCCGATCTGCGGAAGCGACGGGAACGTATACAAGTCAACGTGTCAAATGAAACTTCTCACTTGCGGGTACGTATAGCTGCTTCGAAGATATAGCGTTGGCCATAAACCTGACCGACCCTAAAGTTCATGATGTTTGGTAGCCTAATCCTGTCACTCGATACTTTTGAGTTGTAAAAACTGTGCCCGTCGTTCAGGGGTTTACGACATCAATTTGGGATCGGTTTTTCCGTTTTAGTGTAATTAAAACTCGCGATCTAATTGGTCGGGTTTTTTCGTTAATATCTCGGTAACGAAGCGTCAGATTACATTGTTGCTAAGGAAAAACTTGTTCCAATTCACCCCCTGAGTGCCCCATTTCCGGGTCGGACAACATTTTTGTTACACCCTGTATATGTATGTAACCTTGTGGCGCGTTCGATACAACTTTGAATTTGCGCTGATAATTTTCCACGGTGTAATTCCACAGACAAGGCGTCGTGCGTACCAACAAGAAACACTGCCAGACCACGAGACACTGCCGTGAATCCTGCTGGCGTGGCGCCAAGCCAGCCTGCGGCAGCGACGGCATCCTTTACTCGAACACCTGCAAAATGCGAGCAAAGAACTGCGGGTAAGCGGGCGGTAAAAAATCATCGATCAGGATCCATACACCCATCTTCTAGTTCACCACCACACGCGCGGATAAAGTCGATCGGCACGATATTGTGTCCTCGTAAAATTAACTGTTTATTAGATTGCCTATTCATGTAACTGCACCAACTTGTTGTGAGCCGTCGACTTTATCTTGTGGTCTTTGCCGCGGGAATAATCGATGGGACACTGATCGTGATCGATCGTTTCAGCAAACACGTGTTCGAGGTGCCTATGTCGTTCTGCGTGTCGCGGGAGCGCACGTCCGGCGGACAGTCGAACGCGTGCCCGTTGGAGTGCAAAAACGAGCCTGAGGCGCCAACATGCGGATCGGACGGGAGCGTGTACAGGAACGAGTGCGAGATGCAGATGCTTAATTGCGGGTCAGTTACGCCGCGGTATATCGCGACTCAGGGGACAGCCTGTGATTACGTGCACGTTAATTCGTTTGTGATTGTCGGTAATTTTGCAGGCAAGCAAGACGGAAAGTGACCGTGGTCGACTTCGAGAAGTGCCAGCCACGTTTGAATAAGTGCACGAAGCAACAACAAAAATGCGGCAACGACGTGGACCCAGTATGCGGCAGCGATGCGAACACTTACTCGAATCAGTGTCATCTGAACGTTGCTGTGTGCCTGTAAGTTGACGTTCTTGTACCACGTCTGCACGTCTACGGCCTTTACGGCAGGGGGGGGGGGGTTCGTTCCAGACAGGATATTCGTAGACTAGCAGAGCGTAATTGCTGGTACGGGGGATGCAATTACCCGCTAAACGTTCCGCATCACGAATATTAGAGGCGCCATCATTAACGATTCATCAATCACGCGTTAACCCTTGTCGTCACGGTTGCGTTTCAGAAAGGGCATTCAATTGGCTCACGTTGGCGAGTGCACGACCTTGAAGGAAACCGAACAGTGCCCCGAAGATTGCAGCGAGGTACCCGAGGAACCAGTTTGTGGAAGCGACGGGAACGTTTACCGGTGATTAAGAGCGTTATTTGGATTCCAGGACGTCCGGCGCCGAGAGAGTTTTAAGGGCGCGTGAATCACGAGCTGTCCCTCGTTACGATGGGCCAACCTTCCATTTCCCCTCCCTCTATCTCTTTCTCTCTTTGTCTCTCCCTTCTCTTAACTCCGTGGAAAAAAATCTTATCCGACTCTTTTACTGGAGCAGCCTTCGTGTTCGCTAAGCTGCTTCTCCAGTTTGATTGCCAAACATCTCCAACGACAATCACTGGAATTAACTCTCCAGGGTACCCTAGAACTCAGCCGGCACTCGACGTTCTGTATACATATATATAACACCGACGAATCCGTACCCCGACCATCACACGTGCACTTGTTTGTACTCAGATCCTTCTGCCATCTGCGGCGCGAGACATGCGGTCAGAGGGTGGTTCAAGTTCCAGCACAACATTGTCCTACCACCGCGCTTTGCAACCAGATCTGCAGCGGAGAACGCCAGTTTGTTTGCGGTTCCGACAACAAGCTCTATCGCAACGAGTGCGAGATGAAGAGGGACAATTGCGGGTAAGCACGGCAATTGTGTTTGAAATTACATCTCCTCTCGACGTTTACGCGCTTTCGTGCGTAACAGCCAACTATTCACGATTACTGCCCGTAGGGAGAACGGATCGGTCGATGATTCAAATGGTTCTTTTGGTACAGCGGGTAATCAAGAGTTCGCATCCTGACTCGATTACTCGATTGGCTGGTTGTTATCCTTCCTAGAGATAATTCCAGATACGAATGAGTAATAATCTTTGTCGGTTTTGCCTCCCAGGAAACACGTATACGTGGTGCCCATGAAGAGATGCGTTCAGGGCTTCCTGTTCCGTGGTTGCCAAAAGATCTGCCCGCCCTACTACGACCCAGTTTGCGGCACAGACGGCATGACTTATAGCAACGAATGTTTCCTGGAGATCGAGAACTGCCGTAGTCGAAGTTTAGTTACGAAGAAATATCACGGCGTGTGCGGCCAACCAACGGAGGAGCCTAAGAACTACTTGTACTAAATCGATCGATTTCTGTCTGTTCGAAAGTCTCTGTTGAAAAGTACTCTCTCGAAAGTTGACGACTTCCAGACAGCTCGGATGGATTGTTTAAAAAAGAAAAAAAAAAGCGATCGAGATAAGTTCCTTCGAGTCGATTGATCTTTGCGAAAGACAATCTTCGGGCGACCAAACGAATCAACGAAAAAAATTTTAGAGTTCGATCGTATATCCGGTCGTCTTGAAATCAAATTTGAAGAACCTCGTGAACCTCTACGGAATTTTAGTCGCATATGTCTCTCGAGAAACAATTTGTTCGAAGAATAATTGTTCGAGTAACATTGGCTCGGGGCATGATGCCTCTGGTCGACCACAAAAGAGATATCTGTTGTTCTCCTAGTCGACTGTGTCCCGACTATTGATTAATTTAATGAATTCTCACGCGAATCGTCCCTTCGATCACCGATTGGACCAAGACTACTTTGCGGACAGATGTCAATTTGACAGGTGTACAAGTATCATAGAGCATCTTGTATTTATTTCCGGATTTTGTTCTTCGATCGGAACGATCCACCTTGCGCGTGCATTGTCACGTTATGAATGTCGCGACGATAAATCGATCGCGTGTAGCTCCTTCGATATCTTCGCCACGTATTCACCGATACAATCATTCTTATTTATTCTAGTATTATTATTATTAATTATTTCATCGTCTTTGCATCATTTTTCTTATCGCTACTGCTCTACGGTTACACGATAGTCCGGAACGTATCCCTGTTCTAATTCTAAGGATTATATTTAGCTACTGTATCAATCCTGAGACATGTGATGTGTGTTCATAATTACTCCTTATCATCGTATCCTTAATTTATTATCAAACATGTGACAATCCCTTTTGTAACGACACTAACACACATGCTTCGAATGTCAATAATAAACTATATATACGTATATTTTAAGATAAACTTCGTGTAAAATGCATTTAGAAATCGAAGGACTTCACAACAGTCGATACACGGCCGTCGAACAGAATAGTTTCTGAGTACCCCGTTAGGAGACGCCAACGGTCGCCATTCGAATAGTCGCCGCAAGATGGCGACGACGTGCGCTGATATTGACAGGTGCCGAGAGAGCATGGCGGCCAGTGTTTACGACAACTGATCGCGACCGATCGAATCCACGGATGACCCGGGTGTTTCGCGTATTGTTTACGGGATTTTCCTTTCGGTACAGGATTCCCGTTATTGTCGATTCGCGCGCTGTGAATTCGTTTGTTTCTCGTTGAAAATAGAGACCAGTGTTCCGTTGATCCTGTCGGTGAAACGTGTGCCCCAATCTCGAAAGTTTGGGATCAGGTGGTGGATTTGTCGTTGATACGGGAGTGCTTTCGGAGCGGATCACTGGAATACTACGGCATTCGTCTTTATCGTAAGTACCAACGATTATTCTTTGGACCGTTCTAACGCGTCACGGTTCGTGATAACGAAACAGCGAAATCTCTTTATTAAAGTGGTCTCTGGTAAAATTTGATAAGCAATTGTACAATAGAGGCCATCTTTGAGCCTCCCCGTGTGTGCTGGTCACGCCGGCGAAAGAGGATCGCGATTACACGAGTCGTGTTACATCAAATGCTGCCACCGGATGACACACGGGACGCCTTAGATAATCGTTACGCGAGAGGAAGGGCTTCCTTCTTCCTTCTCGTAGCTAGACACTTTCTACGCAGGTCGCGTTCGACGTTCGTCCACGGGCGAATACATCTGCGCTTTTAATTTCGAACTCTCTCGCGTCCCAGAATTTGTTTTCGGTTCCGATTTTTCGACGGTACGGTTAAACTTTCACTGATGGTGTCCCCCCGCTATACTCATAGGTGAGTCAGGTGTAAACGTGACTGACGGTGCAAAAGATATCCACCGGTAACAAGGACCGTTCCATTTCAACCCACGATCGCGAGTTTCACGCGTGCTGCTTTCTTTTTTCTATTCTTCGATAGCCATGGTGTCCTAAGTGTCATCGCGCGTTACGTAACCGTAAAAATGTCAAGGGAAGAAACGTCGACGTGCGAATCAAATTAAAACGTAGCTTCGAATGAATCGCGTCATGATAATCAGGTTACGTGACGGGAGACGATTATCGTTACACCCGGAACCTGGCGGTGTAAGTATTATTAATAATAAGTATTATGTACGAATAGTAATAGGCATTTGGTGCAGCTACTAGGATTGTCAAAATTAACCAATGTAATCACGTTGGGATCGTTTGTCGGATTATTTAGGATTGTTATTATTCCAATGAATCGTAGTGAATTCCATCGCAGACAATTACGTTCTCTTTTCTCGCAGTAGTGGCTCAGCGATTTTTCCTTGTGTAATGACAAGTGTTTGGAAATCATGTAATATATGTGGGTCCTTATATGCGTGCGCACCAAGTCGGTTCTCTCCTGTTTGCTCCATCCACCTTTTGTTATCTTATCATTATCTCTCGCGTTAACGACCAGATCGGTGGCAGTGTTTTTCCACGGATGCTCCGAAACCGCTCAACCGTAAGGGACAGAAATGCCCGCCCGCCGAGAAAAAGCCACGATGGAGAGCATAATTAAATTTATCGATCGGTCGGCCGGCGAATTGCTCGCGCGCCCGGCCGGCGCTCGGTGGGGAAACGTGTTCGCGAATTCGCGACGGTGTGTCTCGCGGTGCCGTTTTTCCTGCTGTTGTCAACGACGGTTTTTTTTTCCTGTCTCTGTTGCCGACAGCTATCGCGAGAATACCATCGATGCAGTTCTCAACGCGTAACACGAACGGAGAAAAAGCCTCATTGTTCTTAGAATATTACATAATTGCGTTACGGACGATCGATATTACGAACCAAGGTCGAAGCTGATTATTCTTACTCTTTACGTCACTCCAAAAAAGCTCCACAAGTTACTTGCTGCATTTTTTCAAAGTAAAACTAAGACGACAGTTTGGATCACTAGTGCTTCCCTACAGCTCGCAGGATACGAATCGGAAGTATCCAGCTGGGAAAACTTCGCTGCTACGTAATTTAGACATTAATACCGAAGACGAAAAAAACTAGATATATAATATAAATTATTTGACTCCGAATTAATTACATATTTAATATAAAGTATTTGACTCCGAGGACAATTTAAAATAATGCACCACAAAGGCACAAAAACGGATAGAATAGCAAAAAGAAGACGCGACGTGGCTGTGACAAAGAGTAAAAACTGACCGATTCTACTTAAGCCGAATGGACGAGCGCTCGAACTACAAAGGAGGGACCAATGGAATCGGCCTCGGCCAATCTGGCCGGGCACCTTGCATCGTTCCTCTGCCTATTGAATGAATTTCCTACCGAATTGACCCGCGGATTGCTCTTACACTACCAATTGCCGTACCATCCTCGTCGGGCTGCGCTCGATTGCTGCGTTCTCGTCCGACATTTCCTTCGCCGCGAAATCCACGTTGAAATCGTCCGACATACAGCGTGCGGTATATACCGGGAGCGGATTAAGTAATTAACGTGTGAAGCGAGATTGTGTGCAGGATTAGAACGGACAGTATATGATATACCAGGTGATCCAAGAAATCAAGATCTAGCCTACATTCTTCCCGTATATTAAGATCCAAAGTCTTATTGTTATAGATCGTCGTATCGTTAATCCATAGGGGTTTTCGGTGCAAAATACAGTGGACTCTAATTATATTGCCACTAAACATATTGCCACCACGAGGCTACGATTACAAAACTTAACATCAAGGGGGCTCTGAACTCATTGTCATTTTACTCCCCTATAGCCCCGACCATGGCAATATAGTTAGAGTCCACTCGAAAGGTTATGTATATAAAATAGTATAAAACGATTGCTTTTATCTCACGCTTCGGTCTATTTTTCTCTGATCACCCTGTACATGATGCTGCGGTGAAACAGAGAATGTACCCATTACTCCGTCTCGCTTCGATACTCGATCATGTAATGCAGGGGCTAGGTATCGAATCGGTTCCAGCGGAGACCGGTAGAACCGTGTACGCGTAACACTGCAATTAGGGCGAGATTACGCGAGCACGATGGTACGAGGGAGACGTTCTTTCGCAGGCGTGATCGAGACACCGCGCAATCCACCGAAGATTGTGAAGTCTCTCGACGATAGAAAGGTCCCGGCGTTTTCGGTTCGGTGGAAATCCGTGTGTCGAGTAGAGACGGTGTGCAGAATTACTGACATTATTTTATCCATCATTTGTCCGTATTCCTCATTATTCCTTTACTTTGTACGATGTAACTCGCACTTTTGTTTCAACGTCGTTAGTATAAAATATATACCTAAGCTCCCCAGATAGCACATGACGCCTTTAAGTCGTCTTCAAGGCGTCATTAGACGTCGTGAGCTATCTGGGTTATGTGACACGTGCAAGGACTGTTGATGTGTCCTCCGCTAATCAGAAACTATCACGAAAAATCACGAATCACAATGAAAAATCACCGTGATTCGGAACGAACACTATCGAATCATTCGTGATTCAGAATTAGCAGTTCACGCCATCTCTAGTGCGGAACGAGCGGAGGAAGTCGATCACAGATTCCCGCGCGCAACTATCAAATTAATTATATACCCAGGGCCGGCTGAAAATGATCCATTGTGTCTTAATGGCCGTGTCACACGCTCCAGCCTTGAGGGGAATCGACCCCGGGCACCGGATCTCGAATTCTTTTTCCCTTTCGGCAATGGTAATATGGAATTAAAAACGGCGACGTCGGGTCTCGCGTGTCACGCTGCTGGCTCCTATTCTGACCGTCTTAAATGAACTGAAACGCTCTCGCCCCGTTCGTCGTGTCGCATTCAGACCGGGGGCGCACAAGAGATAAGTTTCTCCCAAGACAAGGCAGCGGCATTGTGCCGCAATAAAAATTCCATTGTTCGCTCGTTCGAAGGAAACACGAATATAATGGAACGCGTGTCCCATCGTCGAAGGGGAGGGATGGGGGACGATTTTCATTCGAGATGCGTCTCACCTTGCGTGCATACGTGGATACCGCACCAGTATCGTGAAAAATGCCACGCGTAGAACCCGTTGCGCGTTCAGC